CAATCTTTATTTTACTCCACATAATCCTTGAAGTTATACATTTTGTAGTCCTCTTTTCCTGCCATAGCTTATCCATCAACATTATTGCTACTCCTTTCTTTAGCTCTAACTCTATTTGAAACCCCTGACCTAATCCCATTATTCCTCTCCCTTTGAAATTCTCCCACCCCCCCTTCATCTTTGTTTCCACTTAAAGCAGGACATCCTGTTTTCCCCTTCTGCATTCATAACATCCACAATCATCTCTTCATAACATTTGCACAACATCCACGCACATTCAGACTTCCCACTTTGACAATTTTCTTCTTCTTATTCTTTCTTTTTAGTAATCTTACAGAAAAGGGTTACTAGCCCTTGTTTCCCGACATTTTAGTTGACTTCTACAACACGCATAGGCTTAACGGAGGAAAGATTCTTATCAACTTCCCCATGGATATAAAAGTAAAGTAATAAGACCACGAACTATTAAGATAAAAATCAAAGAAAAACTCAGATGAGTTGTATTAAATACACGTGTACATGTATGTTAGTGTGACCTAAGTGTAAGTAGAAGTTAGCAAGACCCCGTACCTGTAATCTTGCCATATTTATGATACAGACACAAAAGACACAGCAATCCTACATCATTAAAACAATTACAGCTTTCGTTTTACAACTCACCTTGGCAGGACGGTAGTACCTCCCCTGGGTGGTTGCTGTCTACCAACCTACTATATATATATATATCAGTAAATATATAATATATATATATTATATATAAAATATATATATATATATATTAGATATATTATATTATATATATATAAATATATATATCTACTGTAAACTAGATATATATATATATATATAATTAATATATATATAATATATATATATAAATATATATATAATATATAATATATAAATAACTGTATATAAATATATATATATATATATATATATATAATAACAGTGGTACCCCGCATAACGATGGCATCACATAGCGATTTTTTCGCATAACCGATTAGCTTTTTCGCAAAATTTTGCCGCGCAATGGAACAGATTAAAAAACCCCTTACCGATTTCGCCGAGACGCGTCCAATGTGCCCTCAGCCAGCTCACATGTGCCGGCCGTCCCATTGTTTACCAGCCCAGCCTCCGCGGTAACATCTCAAGCATACACTCGGAATATTTCGTATTATTACAGTGATTTCGGTGCTGTTTCTGGAAAATAAGTGACCATGCCCAAGAAAAGCTTCTAGTGCCAACCCTGTGGTTAAAAAGGTGAAATAAGTATGGAAATTAAGAAAGATTTTGAAGGGTTTGGGGCTAACCCTGAGAAGCCTATGCCAGTTGTGGAATCCTAGTGCCACTTCAAAGATTAAGGAAATGTGTGCAACAGTGGGTAAACTGCAAACCTTTATCGATAAAATCACCCCGACACAGCTGTTGCAAGCAGTGCTGGATACTAATTTCAATGACAAGTTGTGGCCCATTTAGAACAAATCGTAAAGAACGGAGGTACAGACTCTATGGACAGATTTGTTGTGCGACAGAGTTCCAGTGACTCTCAAGCTGGTCCTAGTGGCATTAAAAAGAGAAGGTAAGTAACCCCAAAAGGACTTGCTACCTCAAGGTCCGTAATGGAAGGGATTCCCTTCTAAACAGTAAAGAAGAAAAGCTCTTCCCCTCCTCCCATCCCATCAATCATCACAGATCTTCAATAAAAGTTAAGTGTCGATGTAATTGTGGCAATGTGTGCCTTTTTCAGTTTGTGTGTAATAAAATTAACATCTCATGTGGTAAAAAAAGAAATTTTTTCATACTTTGGGCGTCTTGCACGATTAATTTTATTTTCCATTTTTCTTATGGGAAAATTTCATATCGCATAACGATTATTTCGCATAACGATAGCCCTCTTGCAACGGATTAAAATCGTTAACCGGGGGTCCAACTGTATATATATATATATATAAATATAATACATACAGTAATATATACTATATATATATATTATATATATAATATATATATATATATATATATATATATAATATATATATATACACGTATATATATATAATATATATATATATATATACTATATAGCTGTGGACCCCCGCTTAACGAACTTTTTTCATTCAGTAGTAAGTTCAGGTGCCATACTGACCGAATTTTTTCCGCAAAAGGAATATTGTGAAGTAGATTAGTCCATTTCGAGACCCCCAAACATACCCGAACAAACCACTTACATAAATACACTTACATCAATCGTCCGCATTGGAGGTGATCGTTTAAAGCGGGGGTCCACTGTAATATATACAAAATTTTTTTGCAAGGTTCTCAGTACACAACATTTTAGAAGTATATACGTATAAAGATACACAACATATCCCTCAAAACTGCCAATATCTCGAACCCTTCCTTTAGAGTGCAGGCATTGTACTTCCCATTTCCAGGACTCAAGTCCGGCTATATAAAAATAACCGGTTTCCCTGAATCCCTTCACTAAATATTACCCTGCTCACACTCCAATCAGATCATCAGGTCCCAAATACCATTCATCTCCATTCACTCCTATCGAACACGCTCATGCACGCCTGCTGGAAGTCCAAGCCCCTCACCCACAAAACCTCCCTCACCCCTTCCTTTCAGCCTTTTCAAAGACGACCCCTACCCCGCCTTCCTTCCCCTACAGATTTATATGCTCTCCATGTCATTCTACTTTGATCCATTCTCTCTAAATGTCCAAACCACCTCAACAACCCCTCTTCAGCCCTCTGACTAATACTTTTATTAACTCCACAATTTCTCCTAATTTCCACACTCCGAATTTTCTGCATAATATTTACACCACACATTGCCCTTAGACAGGACATCTCCACTGCCTCCAACCACCTCCTCGCTGCTGCATTCACAACCCAATTTTCACACCCATATAAGAGTGTTGGTACTACTATACTTTCATACATTCCCTTCTTTGCCTCTATAGATAACATTTTTTGTCTCCACATATACCTCAACGCACCACTCACCTTTTTTCCCTCATCAATTCTATGATTAACCTCATCCTTCATAAATCCATCCGCCAACACGTCAATTCCCAAGTATCTGAAAGCATTCACTTCTTCCATACTCCTCCTCCCCAATTTGATATCCAATTTTTCTTTTTCTAAATCATTTGATACCCTCATCACCTTACTCTTTTCTATGTTCACTTTCAACTTTCTACCTTTACACACACTCCCAAACTCATCCACTAACATTTGCAATTTTTCTTTAGAATCTCCCATAAGCACAGTATCATCAGCAAAAAGCAACTGTGTCAATTCCCATTTTGTATTTAATTCCCCATAATTTAATCCCACCCCTTTCCCGAACACCCTAGCATTTACTTCTTTTACAACCCCATCTATAAATATATTAAACAACCATGGTGACATTACACATCCCTGTCTAAGACTTACTTTTACCGGGAAGTTGTCTCCCTCTCTTCTACACACCCTAACCTGAGCTTCACCATCCTCATAAAAACTCTTTACAGCATTTAGTAACTTACCACCTATTCCATATACTTGCAACATTTGCCACATTGCTCCCCTATCCACTCTATCATATGCCTTTTCTAAATCCATAAATGCAATAAAAACTTCCCTACCTTTATTTAAATACTGTTCACATATATGCTTCAATGTAAACACTTGATCTACACATCCCCTACCCACTCTGAAGCCTCCCTGCTCATCCGCAATCCTACATTCAGTCTTACCTCTAATTCTTTCAATAATAACCCTACCGTACACTTTTCCTGGTATACTCGGTAAACTTATTCCTCTATAATTTTTACAATCTCTTTTGTCCCCTTTCCCTTTATATAAAGGGACTATACATGTTCTCTGCCAATCCCTAGGTACCTTCCCCTCTTTCATACATTTATTAAACAAAAATACCAACCACTCCAACACAATATCCCCCCCTGCTTTTAACATTTCTGTCATGATCCTGTCAGTTCCAGCTGTTTTACCCCCTTTCATTCTACATAATGCCTCACGTACCTCCCACACACTCACATCCTGTTCTTCTTCACTCCTAAAAGATGGTATACCTCCCTTGCCAGTGCATGAAATTACCGCTTCCCTTTCTTCATCGACATTTAAAAGTTCCTCAAAATATTCTCGCCATCTACCTAATACCTCCCTCTCCCCATCTACTAACTCCCCTACTCTGTTTTTAACTGACAAATCCATACGTTCCCTAGGCTTTCTTAACTTGTTTAACTCGCTCCAAATTTTTTTCTTATTTTCATTAAAATTCCTTGACAGTGCCTCCCACTCTATCATCTGCTCTCCTTTTGCACTCTCTCACCACTCTCTTCACCTTTCTTTTACTCTCCATATACTCTGCTCTTCTTATAACACTTCTGCTTTGTAAAAACCTCTCATAAGCTAACTTTTTCTCTTTTATCACACCCTTTACTTCATCATTCCAGTAGTACTAGTACTACTTGTACTAGTACTACTACTAGTACTTGTACTACTACTAGTGCTACTAGTACTACTTGTACTACTCCTAGTACTATTACTAGTACTTGTACTACTACTAGTACTATTACTAGTACTACTACTACTAGTACTTCTACTAGTATTTCTACTAGTATTACTACTATTTCTACTAGTACTACTACTTCTATTAGTACTACTTCTACTAGTACTACTACTACTAGTACTTTTACTAGTATTACTAGTAGTATTTCTACTAGTACTACTACTAGTACTTCTACTAGTACTAATACTAGTAGTACTTCTACTAGTACTAATATTACTACTAGTACTACTAGTACTAATATTACTACTAGTACTACTAGTACTTCTATTACTACTAGTAGTAGTACTGCTACTACTAGTAGTACTACTAGTATTACTAGTACTAGTGCTATCATTACTAGTATTACTATTATCATTTCGAGTACTACTACTACGACTACTACTACTACTAGTGCTACCACTGCTACTAGTACTTACTTCACTGACCCAGGTACGAGACAGTTCACCTTCAGAAGTAACACCCACACCACTGATATCAGAGGTGCTGAAGCTCTTCTGTACCCCTAGGGCAGTGCTGAGGGCAGCACACGACCGGATCAGCTCTGTCTCTTCCTCTCCCCACAGGTTCGAACCTCCTCCTTCACCCACTGAACTCCCTCCACCTCCTCCACCTACTCCGATATTCAGTGTGGGTGCCTGAAATAGTGTGTGGAGTTAGTAATTCAGGTGGAAGGTTTTTCTGATGGATACTGTAGTTTTATGTTGGGTCCAGGAGCTGTGATTCGACCCATGTAATCAGGTATAGGTGAGTACACACACATACACGACGCCAGGAGCTGTGACTCGACCCTTGGGAAACCCTTTTTGCCACACACAACACACACACACATCCCTTAAACTGGCA